CTTTTTCTCTAACTAAATATACTTGGGGTTGAGCTGTTCAAACCGATGTAATTGGAAGACAAACGGAGTATATTAAGCCAAGAAGCAATTTGCTTGACTGAAACGCTTTAAATACTCTGGGACTTCGTAATTTTTAACTACACAGTGGAGGGACATGACACGCCCTACAGGACAGCTTAGCATACCACACAAATATATCGCTTAGACCAAGTTAGGATCTGACAGCATGATAAGGCGGCATCAGCAACCACTATTCGGCGGGTCCTGTGGCTCTACGGAATGGGTTTCCTTTGTCTTCTGTATTGATAAAATTTCAAATGATTCACTACGGCATAGCGCAATCTTAGAAATAATAGCAAAGTGGGCGTGAAAGAGGGAACATTGCCTAAAATACGCATTCTAGAAAAATGCACTGTTAGAACTAGGCTGTTTATATCGTCAGAGAAGGTTGCCAGTTCATTTTAGACATTTAAAGTTTGCAATTAAAATAGCGCTATATAACGGGGATCAAAGCCGCACTTTTGTGATGCTGTAGGTTTCATAATCATAATGGCTACAATACTGGTGTCTTGAAAACAACGTTTGTTGTAAAAATATAAAACGGAATGATATCCTTAGGCAGACTTTCTAATGAGAAAATAAGAAAACATTTTCTATTGAAATGTTATGCTTGGGATTTCTCCGGTAGAGAATATAATAGCTTTCTAACCACACTCATCTTTAGCGTCCAGTCTTGAAAATCGTTCCGAATTACGAGGGGTATTTTCTCACATCAAATCAAAAGCGGTTATCAAAACGATGCTTCTTACGTCACAGCAATTACCCACTTCTTATTGCGTACCAACATCTAATAAGTTGTTATTAATGCCTGTTTAAATTAACATGATTTGTTGTAAATTATGTAGGAATGGTTGCTTGTGATCTACAATTCAGTTTGATGATATATGCATTAAAACTCCATTTCTTAATAATTTTTATACCCAGATACGGCATAATCTCTGATTTCAAGATTACAGTGAGAATGTTCGGTCCATAGATGTGACCTCGTCTTATTCAGCAAACGCTTCAGCCTAGCTCATCAAGAAATGTGAGGACCTCAATCGACTAGGCCACGTGAAGAAATTGGTGAATTGACCGGTCGCATACTTTAAGGGAAATGTGACACTTAAATACGGAAATGTAAGCTGTGCTTCTCAATACCCTTCAGGAGACTATCAAATCCGTTATGAGATAACGACGACACTGGAAATTTGACCACGGAGGTCAGACGGAAGTAGTTGTCAGCGCTAATAAAAAAAACTCTAAAATACCTTACATTTCCAATTTTTAACATTAGATGATCAGCTACCAGGGTCCGAATTGTGAGGTATATTCTGTTAAACATATCCATGAATATTTCATTAATAGCCTGTCAATCAAGGCAGAAAGCAACATCTTAGTAAAACTCTCTGTTAAGGACTGTGGAACATTATGAATTAGAACAATGAGAGGACTTTTAGTCAAATAGGGCGCAGATGCTTGTAAATAAAGCAGCATTAAGTTGGCGGAATATGTCCAAATTGCATAATTCGAACCATTGACGTGTTAGTTATTTCTCACAGTAGACATAAGAATGAAGACATGTGACAGCTTGCGCACCCAAATACGGCAGACATAATGAAATTGCTCAACTTAACGACCTCAGTTAACAGCTGCTATGGTTGGAGCATGCTGAAAACATGTTACTTCTTAATTCCAGGTGCATTTGGATTTTTTAAAAATATTACCGTATATAAGAACTTACTGACGTCAAAAAAAGCAGACACCACTAATAAAACAATTTCGACACTAATAGGTGTGTTAGGTTAGGAAGAATACGTTACGACCTTCTAGTAAACACTAAGTACAGAAAACGTAATCCGAAATAATTGAGACAGCTTATGTAGCCAATTGGGAAATTGTTACGATTTTAAGGTGCTAAAATGCGACTATTTTCAGCTGCCCTTTAGTTGGGTGGCAAGCTTTTATCCTAAACTTTGATAAAGTAGGTTTAACCTTTTGAATTCTGAATTAATTTACCTATGACATTTTAGTATTTCTTATATTGTAAGGTAAATGTTAGTAAGCATTAAACATAAAAGTATGAAATGAAATTGATGCAAACATTTTTTACTGTTTATTTTTAGCCTGCTCCTTCTAAGTACTGACAGAAACGCAGGTCATCAACTTTGTCACCAGAAAGTTACATAACTGAGAATGATATTAGTGAAGGCAGTACTATTTTCTTTGCAGTCCAACAAACGTAAACAGAATCTGAATAATGCCGTAAGAAGACGAACACTGGCAGATGTCAACATTTCGTATTGTCTCTTCAGTGCCAACACAATAACATGAAAATATATAAGACGACAGGTAGGGTGAGACCGGAACAAGTTAGAACAGGGTAGAGGGGCAGGCGTGACACCCCTACGCCCAGGGCAGCCGTAGGCTTACGAACAGCTGTTTCTACACGCAGAGTGGGGGTTTGATACGGCTGATCGCGACTGCCTCTGCAAAACGTAGGAAACGGGTGTTAGCATGTCTTAACACGATTGTAAACATTGTGGCCGGATCAAACTGGTGACAGGTGGCCAGTAAATGCCTACCTATGGATGATGCAGGTGGTTTACGTGAACAGATGGTATGAGCAACCGAGGACTGGGTGATTTGGCGCTGCAACCATTTAGGTACATGTTCCCTTAATCTGGAATTCAACGATCGATTGGTACGGCCGATGTAGTGTATACCACAACTACAAGTAAATTGGTAAATGCAATGTGAGTTGGCGCCAATAGGCTGTCTTTCCGGCATTGGGGTAACAGGTATTCGAATGTGGCCTAGATTGAATTTTTTGAATGGAACATATTTTACGTCTTCCTGTTTCTGCAACAATTGCTGGCCAGTCAGCACCAAGGTTCTGTGTCCTAATGTCTTTAGGCACAGAGTACTTGTTTTTCCTTCGTTTCGTTAGGTGAATATATAGTATGCATTGAAGGATGATCTCTTTTTTCATTGGTCGGTTTCTCATGTCAACAAGCCCCATTGCCAAGTTTCTTCGGAACTCCAGAACTGTGATCTCATGATGCATGTCCTTATACCTAACATATACATTGTCACTTGAATGATTGCAAAAAGCAGTCTGTGCTACCTCTTTATTTCCTGTCATAATCGTATATAGAGCGCAGTATATTTGCTTCTTCCGTTTCGCTCATGGCTGAATCTTAATCTTGTACTCTTAGGTGCCACAACGTCGGCAATTGTTCCACGCCGTTCTTCACTCCTCACGGTAATTGATTCACTTCACGTTAATTTGACAACAGATGAACACATTTTTCGTCTTTCCAGTTGAAGAACGCAATTCTTTGATCTGTAGAAAGATAAACAAAATTACCACTTTTCACCCCCTTAGCATCTTGGAGTTAAGGAAGATGTTTCCCATTGGGGCCGATGATTCCACAAGGTAAAAATGTTGTTCACCTTCAGATGCTCAAATAGTTCCACAGCTGTGAACAAATTATCCGTTACCAAAACAGAACCACCTGCTTTCTGAGTTTGCGTGAGTCTGTCCACAATAGTTCCGTCCAACAGAAATCTGTCTTTAGCATTAGGAATGTCTTGTGATTTGACTTGATAAACTACAAAATTATAACTATCCCCCATCATATCAGCTCGACACCATATTTTACAACCACCTTTTACTGTCTCCATATCACAGCATGTGTAAATGCAGTAATGAAACCTCAGATATTAATGGCCATTAAACAAATTACTTTCTGTTACTAGAATAGATTGCTCAAATATATAGATTTTGCGCCCCACCCCATCGTTATGACCAGTAAAGGCTGTAACTGTTAATATGACGCCTGAGGACTGATGATAGTTTCTGGTAGCAACATATATGTTGTATCAGTATAATACGGATTATGCTTAAAATTGTAAAACAAACATACCGAATCGTAGCATGTCCACCACAAAAACGAATAAAAATTAATAGGACTGGCAGCCTGCAACAAAACCAACTAAACTTTAACAAATAGTGCAAACACTCACAGTCCTCTGAAACCAATTTGCTACCACGTTTGACATGAACCACAAAGTTAACTCCACACACTGTAGAGCCAAGTGTTATAGTTATGTCCCTTACCTAATTATTAACAGAGGGCTGTTACACGTATTCGCGCGAGTACCGACAGGGATAACGCTTGGATTTAAGCAATATTGCCATTTAATCAAAGTGGTACTTATAACTAGGGCTCTACCCGGTGTTAGGATTCAGTGCCAATGATTTGTGCTCAGTATGCACACATTAGGCGAAAAACAACTTATCTGAGGAAGGCTTTATAGGTCGCATACGAGTGACTACAGACAACACGACGTGGCCCAAATCATTCAAATGAAATGTGTGGCTCAGACCACGTCCACTGTGTTTGCGGTAGCAAAAGTATTTGCTTTTTGACGTTTTGTCGTGTTTTTGAAAAATTTAGAAAATAGCACTTTTAAATAACTGCACCTCTGATTTCAGTCCAAAGCTAGCGTTTTCCTTTGCATTTAATTCCAACGATAAACGATGTTATCACCCGGTATCTGCAATAGTCGTTCGTTAGAGTCGTGCCCATAGATGTAGATTTCCTATAAGTCAGCAAAAGCTGTCATTTTATTTCTAGGTGATACACTAAGCAAATTGTGAGGACTATAACTATTATTCCTGCATATGCTAGTCACACATGATGGAATGTAACTAATCAACGTCCTCTGATCTGACAACGTCGCTATGTTTTTCACGCCATGTTGTACAGTGTATGTTGCTTAATATTACCGCACCCGACAGATGAGGGAAGGAAGCTGTGTAGATGCGTGGTGCGCGAGTGTTGAACTACATACCATCTGTGGTAGACGTGATACCACCTGCACTGACGGGAGTGAAAGTTAATTGATTCCCACCTCAACTGACAAAATGTGTGAGGAGTATGTGCACGTGGTGTGAGCAATCGCCATTATCGACATTATGTGGGTGTACAATGAAGTTCGCAACCGTTAATCACGTGTTGAACAATTTCAAGCCTCTGTTCAACTGAGTGAGAGTTAACTATGCGCTTACGTTGAGTGAGAGGTTGGACTGAGCAAAACATTGGTGTATTCAGCTTTCTATAACTGAAAATCGTGGAATGACCAGGTATAAAATTCTTCTTCCTTCTGATACCAATGGATGGTTCGAGTCAATAATGTGGAACACCCAGGGTTCAGTTGGAATGGAGGAGTTGAAGAATAAAGTCCATGGAATTGTATCTCGTCCGACTGAGAAGATTAGATTTTACCTTTGGAGTGAGTCAAGCGATATAAAAACATGATATTATTATAGCCTAGTCTGATAAGGCTTCATATGTATGATAAGTCAGTGCGTGAATTTAGTAAACAATAACAGTGTTAATAGCTGGGCTGTTTGCTAACTACATTAAGTTTATTTAATAATGAAGCACCAAGTTATCTCTCCCTTCGTTACAATGACCCCACTTTCGACTCTCTAAGGAACTAGAACCAGATGTCCGAATGTTGCATTTGTCTACTTGCTCAACTAGGAAACCGATACAATTAAATGCATGTCTGTTCCGTAACACCACCCTGCTGCCTGTTGTTGTGTGTCCAATCATTGAAAAATGGACAAATGTGACTCCCTGATAATTGATTTCCAGACCTGAGTAAGTACATAAGGTAAGTTACTTCGGACAAACTGGTGGGTGTAGATTTAGACAGACTTAACAATTTGGGAAACGAAAAGATACTATTTAGTTTTTATCTGTTGTTTTTATCCGCAACAATTAATCTACTCCACCGGTTCTGCAATAACAGCCACACTGTTTCCATTTATTAATAAGCCTAAATAGAGAAAAATCATTCCATTTCCTGGCTGACCTCTGGAATGATAGTGTTTTACCTGCAACCACATGTGAGATACCCCCCAAAACGATGTTCTAGGTTTGCCATCGGTTCCGGCATAACAAAACACAAAAGGCAGATAGGTAAATGCACCCCTTTCACTTTACTTACCATTTCAATATGATATATAAGTAGAAAGGGCATATTATGTGCTGGATATTTAGTAAGGATATAATTTAGTTGGTGAGGCATCAGCCACGACCGGAAGAATCTGTTTGCGTTTGCAGTTCTCGGGCCACTCGGGACCACTACAGAAGCGACGACGGGTCCTGTAGAGAAGGTATGCAGAACCGGCGCAGCGTTTGTAGGTACGCTGCATTCGATTTACTAACCGCGTGCTTGCATGCTAAGTCTCTTTATTTCAGGTGGTGGGTTTACAGATTTTACCTTAATGCTTTTCTTTCTCATATAAATGTCTACCTGTACTCTATTCCATTAACTTGCACACCTCGCTTAAGCCAATTGTATTCGATTTCCATTACATTTCTGTGTTCGTGGCACTTCCGAAAACTATACTTTCCGACCTCGTGAACTTATCTACGATTCGTTTGTAAACAACTTATTTCATGTGCTCATTAACTTAAAGTTCATGTCACCTTTTCCTTTATGCAGTAATCGAGTTATTTTCTCTGTATCTTTCTCTCTCTCTCTCTCTCTCAAGTGATTGGCTGTTGTTTGATATCCCCGGTGTGGCTGCGCTTGATGTGCATGTTGACAAGGTGCCTACCTCTCTATTAACCACTACCTCGTCCATACTGGCTCCAGGAGACAGTTGGTCGTTGCTGGAGGGGACAGGGTGCACGGTCCTTCTGGTCGTGCTAGGCTCGAAGACCGGTTCCATGCACTCAGTGTGGAGCGGACTACGGTCCAGCCACCGCCTTGTGTGCACTTGATTCCCAAATACAGCTTGCTTGTGTTTGCCTGGGAAGGAGTGTGGGCCGGTTCCGTTGATGAAACGTGGCTCCCATCCGCATGCCTCCCGGTCATATTCCTTCGGGTTTACACTGGATATGGGGTGTGTGGATGGAGCTGTGGGTTGTGCAGCGCAAGCCACCCATGGTCTCTCTGTAAGCGCAGGTGTCCTGTGGCTTGCCACAGTGACAGGCAAATCCGAAACCGTATGCCGCCAACCATGAGATGGATTCTGCGCATCAGTTGGTGCGACAGAGTTGCGTACACGGAAGTGTTGAGCCGAAGTGTAATATTTGCAGTGGACTGCATACTTTTACTGAGACACCAGAGGTAGCTCGGTAATGTGAGCCTTATGGATTCGACGCGGAAACCGAAGCAGCTATTATATGGTTAGTTGAGTGTTAGGAAGCGACTTGTGGGGAAACCGAAGTTTCATTGCCAAGACGCGTTCGAAGTGAAGCTTTCACATTCTACTCTTGATTTCAGGTGTTGGGAATCGGAAGCGGTTGATCGGCGTGCATGGCGGGATCTGATCACGAAGACGGTTGCCAAAGTGCAAGAGAAACCCCTTGTGCATGTAGAATAGAAGCCTTAATTGCGGAAACGACTGGCGCCGATGGCTTGTACTACATCGACAGCCAGAGCGTGGTGCTGTAGCACATGCGTCGCAAGTGCCTGCGTTAGGCAGGCCTAGTGAACAATGAACAATGATTTATAACGGGTAAAAAAGCAATTGCTTGACATATCCCATAGGATGTTTAGCGTGGAAAAAAGATAGATCAAGTGATAATGGAGTCGTCAGTTCGGGCGATTACAGATTTAACTGCACTGCCGTATACAGGGAGTTTGCAATAGGGATTTACGCACAAAAAGCAATAAGGGAGTGGTTACTGATCACGTAATAGGTGAGAAAAAAGGAAAAAAGATAGCAAGGACAACGCTTACTGGTGTACAACTATGTTGGGTCGACAGGATACAGAAATCCAGTTTCTATAGTAGCAGCATTTGTCAAATTTCGTGCAAGGGGTTTCAAGTGATGCATTATCGTGTAGGGTTCTGGCACTGTCCACTGTCTGTTGTGCATTAGTGCCAGCATCTTGCGGTCATGAGCTATAGCACAAGGCGCAAATGTGACAGTTTTGTCAAGGATTTTTTGAAAAGGGATAGAGTGGGTGAATTAATTACATGGTCTGGGTGGGCGTTCCAAGGCTGTGCCACTCGAAGGGAGAAATAGTTTCACCGACATTCCAGGCGGCTGTACTGCGTGACTAACTTAAACTGGTGACCTCTTAACGAGATGTTTTGACTGAGTATTAGAAAAGAATGGTATGGGTGGTTGGGGTAGTTCAGGATCTCGCGCACCATTATAAGATCGCCCCTTAGACGCCGTTAACGTCCACTGTATATTTTGAGGGTCTTCAGCCTGAGTGGGTAGGGGAGGCTGGTCAAATCTCTGACGCTCTTCGTTGCCCTACCTTGTGCAGTATCGAGCGCGGTGAGATGGTGCTTGAGCCAGGGTTGCCACGCTTGAATAGGGTATTCCGCGTAGGGCCTCTCGTATGCACTAAGCATATTTGGGAAGACTGAAGGGTCAAACTTCTCGAAGGCTCTACGAAGAAGGCTGAGGTACTGATTTTCTTTCTTAGCTGCCTTTTCAGTGAGCTATGTGGGAGGCCACTCGGGGGTCCCACCGAAGCGACGACGGGTCCTGAAGGAAGTAGGAAGAACCAGCGCAGCGTTTGTAGATAAGCTGCATTCGATTTACTAATCGCGTATTTGCATGCTGCATTGTTTGCTTTCAGGTGGTAAATCTGCTAGATTGTGCTAATACTTTTTTATCTAATCATAATATCTGCTCAAACAATGTTTCATAAACTTGCATACGCCCATTAAACTATTTTAGTTACGTTTGAAAGCATTTTTTGGTTGTGGCATTTCTTTAAAATTTATTTGCTGACGTCTTGAACTTATCGCGGAGCTGTTGGCCACCAATTTATTTCATGTGCTCCTATAGTGAAGGGTTATGTCACCATACGGATTCGCTTTATTTTATTTGATATTGTCGTTTCAAGTGATTTGATGTTGCTTGATATCCCCGGTGTGGCTGCGCCTGACGTGCATGTTCACCCACTGTCTCGTCCATCCCGGCTCATGGAGACAATTAGTCGTGAATAGAGAAGACGGGCTGCACGCTCTTTGTGGTCGTGCTAGGCACGAAAACTGGTTCCATGCACTCAGTGTGGAGCGGACTACGGTCCAGCCACCGCCTTTTGTGCTATTGATTTCCAACTACAGCGTGCTTGTGTTTGCCTGTGAAGGACTGTGCGCCGGCTCCGTTGATGAAACGTGGCTCCCAACCGCATTCCCCACCCCTGTCTTATTCCTTCGGGTTTACACTGGATATCGTGTGTGTGGATGGAGCTGCGAATGATGCAGCGCAAGCCAAATATTGACCATCTGTAGGCGGAGGCTGCTGTGGCTGTCGCCGTGGAGTCCGCTTTGTCAGTCAGATCCGAAACTGGATGCCGCTAGCCATGTATCAATTTTGCAAACTTTATGTACTATCTGTTTTACTTGACGCCATCGTAAAACTTTCCTCTAATCAAAAATATCAGCCGAGTAGTATTTGGTGGTACTTTTTGATTAGGCGAAGCTTTATTAATCCCAAATTTTGGCCATACCGTATTCATCATTTTCAGAAGTTCTGTCTATCAGGATGTATTAACCATAGTTTAATAACACACATTAATTTAGCTTGCTCGTCGTGCGCAATTCCGTGTTTCTTTTCTTGCTAATGAGGCTACATAAAACAGTAAAGGAAACATACACATACTTAACTTCATTTTTTATTTTAACCCCAAATATGTCTGAATGATCCAACCAAAATGACCTAAAAGTCCTTTCGTAAATTGTGGTTAACTACGTTTGTGGATTGAGTCGGATGCATCCTTGCCAACTCACCATCGGTTGCTGAAAGTAATATGTCCCGAAGTTCGTGTAAATCCTTAGTATTTTGGGCAAGATGCATCCTTCACAGAGATTACGAACCAACAATCCCAAAACAACAGGTTATGAGATTAAATGTAACGCTTTTACGCCAGCAAAAATATCTTTAAATCTGTTAGTTCCCTTTAGTAACTTAAAAGGCACAATTAGAAGACGAACTTCGGCAGCTACATGCATTTCGGATCGTCTCATCAGTGCTGATAACGATAACCGGTAATTTTATATAACAGTTTTTGTGTACATACATACATACAAACGTAAGAAAAAATACTTTTGCCACAGAAAACAATACGATTACAACCTACTGTTGTGTATTTCCGCTAGTTGGATTTATTCTAAGTCAACACTTGCGTGTGATCTTGACGGCATAGCAGCTTATTTTGGGTCTATTGGACAAAGTAGCGTAAGTAAATATCCAGTATAATGCACAAATTATGCAGACTAATATCAGACTAATATCACAAATAAAA